ATGCACAGAAGTAGAATATTACAAAACAGTAAAGAATGATTCAGAATAGAAGTTCGTTGATATTAATTTAAATATTTTTGTACATAACATGTATTATTTAAAAAATATACATTATATAAAAAAAGAAATGAAATTATTATTAGTTTTGAAATTACTGGAATTACTATCGTAGGAGCATATTTTCCCATCAGATCGATAATCGCGCGTCGATCGATCGCGTATACCGATTGGTAGAAACACTTGTACAGTGTCGCATATGCGGTGTTTTCAAGGCTATTCGTGATAAGCCATGTGAAAAGAAAAATCATCACTCGATCACGTGTAAGTAATGGCAAATATATAATATAAGTAATGACGACAGTAAAGCGAAGTATAACAATGAATTTAATTATGAATTCGAATTAATAAGTGACAATGAACAATGTAAGTGATGTAAATTTATGTGGGCGGAATGTTCCAAAGATATTGTGTATTCACTTCTAACTGGTATTCACTTCTAATAAGGCTTCTTTATTTTGAATCAGAGACTCTCACTGTCCGTACATATACGTATATATACGTTTTTCTTTTATAACATCGCAAATGAATTCTTCCATCCAAACTTTTTGTACTCTTTCTGTATAAAATAAAATTACATTTTCTTTCCTTCTTTGTAATAATATAATATCCTACATTATTAATTATTTGAACTGCTTATACGTATATGTATAATCACCAACTTAACATATAAAGCACTTTAACTTTATTAAAAATTAATAAAGTTAAATGTTTACTTATAAATGTATAAAGAAAAAAAATTTATTATCTACATTGTTAATTATTAAACAATATTTTAAATATAAAAATACCCATAGTTGGCCTGATAATCGCACAAGGTAATGACGCAGAATAATCCTTTATAACGCCTTCAGCCAGATTCTTGGAGAAAACATAAGTATTTGCGGCATTATTTATATATCTATTTAAAATGATAAAAAGATTTAGAACTTATGAAAGCAAATGGTATATTTGATATTTTATCACTTTTACATACTTAGCTGTAAAAATGTTTAAAATATGATCATCCATCGATTCTGCAATTTGGATCGTCTTTCGCCAATCGGCTTTAGGCGGATATACTTTTTCTTCTATAACGGGATGATCCGTTTGCGAGTACCCTGTGCTAACGTACACTAATGCCTTTTCAAAAAATACAATAAAAAAAGAGTTAAATATTATATAATTTTATTTCAATTAACGATACTGCCTTCTGTATATAATTAGAATCTTCTAATGATAAATTTAAATTTACACTTTTGTTTCATATTTATGAAAGTGATAGTAAAAAAGCTTATATTATAATATATATTATATAGTATATAGATTTACAGATAATACGCAGATATATGAAAAGTATAATATGAGAAGTATGATAAAATAAAACTTTAGAAAAAAAATAGCTATCAAAGTATGACATAGAGTGTTATTTTTATTGTAAATATATTTACGCAATGAACTATTTATGCATAAGTATAAGATGAAGTTGTATTAACATACCACCAAATTCTTCATATTTTCTGCTAAAATACAAATATCTCTCGTAGATCTGGTATTAACAAGAATGGAAGATTTTAGGCTTTCGTTAAATCTAACATTCGCTGCAGCATGGACTATTATAGTCACTCTTTCGATTAACATTTGTTTGTCGCTTAGAGATAAGCCTAATTCCTTTTCACTCGAGTCACCCAAAATGGGAATTAATTTCTTAAAACTAGATGGCTGCTCATCTCGGAGTTTATCAAACAACTGAGTTGAAAAATCAATGTAAGTTATTATAAAAGTAATATAAATAATTAATAAATCTTACGTAAATAATTATATAAATTATTAATTAAAGAATTAAAAAATTCCATTTACAATATATTTATATAATAATATTGTGATAATTTACGACACATATTTATATAATCTACATTTGGCACTCTTTTATATACTTATAATGTGACATCTTAAATATTTTATTGCATGACAATATAAATCATTTTTTAACCATCAAAAAAGAAGTTGTAATAAAATTTCATAAATAAAGAAATTATCCGTCTCATTAATTTTTCCATGTAATAACTTTCTACAAATTTTTAATTGTATTAAGTGACTGTTGAGTAATTTTTGAATAAAATACATATAGTGTTAATTATTTCAATAATGAAATAATTAACATTTTCAATTATTATTTTTTTCTTATATAATAATAATATATATATATATATATATATATATATATATATATAGTCTATTTATCAAAAACAATTAAATCAAATAAGCCAAGTAAAATGTAGAATTATTAAGAATAACGATGTTCTCTGTTTTCGTCATGTTAATTAAAATACGTATGTCTTCAATTGCAATATTAAAAACGTAATAATATTTAAATATATTCACAATTTTTACCGGTAAAGTCAGCATCTTTTTCAGCCTTTCATTGATATTCATTCCGTTCTTTGGCCGAATTAAGACGAATATTTCGCAAACATCCTTGCAGGATCGTAGTACTTTCTCAATAAATACTTTGCCGAAAAATCCTGTGCTACCTGTCAAGAATATACTTTGTTCTGCATAAAACGCCGCGATTGATTCAATTGGATCGACTCTGATTTTCATTGTTATAAATGAAATTCTGTATAAAAACGATTAAAGTAGAAAATATATCAATACTCAAGTCGATGTAATTTTTTTCTTTAATACAACACGTGATGTCTTCTTTTATAAAACGTACGATTTAACAGAAATATGAACAAAATGATAGCTGTATATATAAGCATGGTTTTTAAAAATGAAAAGAGATTATGCAACTAAAGGTTGAAAGCGCAAACTTTGAATATGCACAATATTTTACATTTACATATATTTACATTTACATATATTCTAGTCAATCATCAGTGGAATTTATTTTGCAATTCTAATATTTCGTTTTTCAATTAACAGAAAATTCCTTGATGTTAGTTAAAGTTATCTGTAGATAATGTTATGACTTGATTTATGGTATTTTTAAAAATTTTTCATAGGATGTTCCATATTTGGAATAATTTTTAAACATTTTATGGATTTTATGGATTTTTATTTTAAAATAGAAATTAGTTATTAGTATTAACAACAAAAAAGATACAAGAAAGATTTTTAGTAAATTGATATATTGATAATTTAATATTTACATTTAATATTTACTTATTAATGATATGCTCTTATTAATGATGTGCTTATTTTACAAATATACAGGGTGTCCCAAACGGCGGCTCATGCGTAGCCTGCATTGCTCTCTGCGTTATATGAAGTTACATATTTATATATGTATATGGACAAATATTACTATTACTATTATATCTGCTTGTGCACGATATAATATATGATAAATATAATTATATATAAGTAATATATAATTGTTAATTCTTTTCTAAAATGGTCTTCTCAGTAGGCCTATTTCATTAAAAAATAATGAAAACGTTCAACTATGTAGGCAGAAAAGCAAAATTTTATCATAATTAATATATTTTGTCGAGTGTGAACTATGGATACTTATACGATTTAAATGAAGCGTGGAATGGAATGGATGTTTCAATATACATATATTAATGGCTGTGTTCAGCAGAGAAAACAGCATTGTCACTTCTTTGCAACTACTGTAACAATTTTTGTAATAAGTATAAGTGGGGATTCTTGCCCTTATTTCTTTACGTATGTAAATGTATAAACCAATCACATTAGGCTGGTTCTACATTAGTCGTAACAGAATCGCAAGAATACAAGAAAACGATCGATTACAATTAATTATTTTCTTTGCAATCGAAGCGAATTGTAAATTTCTTACGATTTTGCGATTGCGCGAATCAGATAATGTCGAATCAGACCTAAAGAATCCTACAACAGTTGCAAAGCTGATTTTTCTATTAAACGCATTTAATATTAATTAATCAAATTAATAATAAAACTTTAAAAAACAGTATTGCCGCATAGCATAACTACTACTAGTGCTCAATTGATTAACTCCATCAATCACATTTGATCTGCGCGTGCTCTCTAAGCACTCACTGCTTACCAATTCAGTACAGAATAAAAAATAGTAATTACGACACAAGAACATTACGACATTATACATATTAAAAATCAATGTCAAAAATATCAAAAATATAATTATAATAATATTATTTTTGAGTAAATTATATAATATGATATATATATATATATATATATATATATATATATATAAAGCCGAGTACATGCTAAATCTCTTAATATGAAATAAATTCAAATAACTTATATTACTTATTAATATTATATTATTATACCAACTACGTGTTACTTAACTTTAGTAGACTTTCAACGTAGTGGTTCTATAATATTTCAATAATCAAATAATTTGATATCGATTAAAATCCTTCGAATTTATTTCACATTAAGAGATTTAAGAGAGCAACCAAGATCCTGCTTGCCGAGGAATGCCGAGGACTATGTTTCTCGTTGTTGTTGTTTATTATTTTTAAATATTATTTTTTCATTTTCACAAATCTTTGCAGTATGTAGGGTCCTATCGTGAAATTTTATTGAAATTTTAATAACAATAATCAACGCGCGATCAAACCAAGTCGAACTCTTATTATTTTGCTGAGTAAACTTACTTAGCATTATGATTGCAATTCGCTTGACGTCAAAGCTGCAAGAAGGTTAAATTATCAACTTTTTGATATGCACGATGCTATGTAAATTTATTGCAATTCACAGTTAACAAAGGAATAAGTAAAATGCTGACTAAGAAAAGGAATTATAATTTTGTCCACGATATGTTATTTAATGAATTTCAGTTCTACAATTTATTGATCAATTTTCTCTTCTCATACTTCGCAATTTTATCAGTTATCAGAGAGATGTTGAGATGTTGTTTTGGATACGCCTGATCGTTGCCTTACCGAGACTTTCTCCACGAGAACTACAATTACGATCAACTGCGCGATGCGAAATAATCAGTTTACAAATCGTCGAAAATTGTAATGCGTATCATCTTTTTAGGATAAGTCACTGCGAATAGATAGTCGGTTATTATAATTCGGTAATTATTATAAATGTTCACACACTGATGAAGACCAAAGTAAGGGTCGAAACGTTTGTGTTTTATTTTTGTTTATGTTTATCACGGTCTCACTTGTAATTTTGTACCAAAAAAATAAATTAGCAACTGTCATCCAGCTTGGCTCATATAGTATCCTTCTTTATTATATTGTTAGATATTTATCTCTATCGAGCCCAATTTGTTGTATTATTTTTTGATTAAAAGGAATTAGATTATTTGCATTTAATAATTATATAGCTTTTCATATAAACATTTTAAGCAACACTTTAAAGTATAATTTCTTTTTTCATAACTAAAATATATATATATAAAAGAATATAATGTTTCATTTGATAAAACACTCACTTTCTCTTCCATTTCAAAATTATAAAAATTAAAAAATTTTTTGTTTGATTCTCCAGTTTTCTTTAATTTTGATGATGACATTAAATTTTGCAGGAAAGAAAATTTTTTTTAAAAATCCGTTTATCTTTAATTTTATTATCCCAATGTATTATTTAAAAACAATACTAAACGATTTATGATAAATATAATTATATTATTAAGAATAAGATAAACCTAATTTTTTCCGTCTTTTTTGTCTTGAAAATAAAATAATATGTTCAGACATCAATATATCACTGACAAATGTATGAAGTTACCATACTTGAAATGCATTATAGATATTTAGAGTAGCTAATGTATATTTTTATTTTATTTTATATAAATAAACCAATATAAATAATCTAATATAAATAATTTTGATTTAACTTATTCTTCATAATTATAAATATATACAATTATACAATTATAAATATACAAATATAATTATTAATACAATAATTATAATAATTATATGCAT